ATCCTAGGAAAAATGGGGACCCACTTATTTATGCATCCACCTACCAAATTCAGTCCAAAACACTGTGGGGTGAGGGAGGACAGGTAAGTAGAGTTACTTGTTGATGCCTACTGCTGTGCCCCCAAAGTACAGGCCTATGGATCATGAGAACTATGATCTCTAGCACAGAGGGAAGAAGAGACAGTCTAGCAGAATCTAAAAACCCAGCCACTCAGTGCTCTCCAAAGCCTAACTCAACCATCTGGACTGAGATGGCTCCTTCCCCAGCACCTAGCAGTTGAAGAGTTTAATACCAAGCATTTCACAGTTGGTCATGGAGGGCCACTTGACTCTCCCTATGAAGTGGACCAATCAAGCAACAACCCCATTTGGAGGAGGAGGTGAGGAAGCCGTAAATGTCCATCATCCCCACTACAAACCCCTATAAAACATGAAAAACATATAAACAATAAATTTTGCAGACAATACCTGTGCCTAAAGGACAAGCCTACTGACATCCAAAATAGAAACAAACCTGCCCACTGTTGGTCTTCTCAACCCCCTTTCTCCCCAGGCCCCAGCACCCCCTGCCCTCCCTGAAGTGTAATCATCAGCTTCAGTCCATTCAAAGTAGCTCACAAAGGCATGCAAACAGCTCTACTGTCAATACTAAGGAAAGGATGATTATTATTTTAATTAAAATGAAACAGTGATTTCTATTTGGCTAAGGGCCAGGTCTAAGAGCTGTTTTGTTCTGGGACTTCTCTTTTTAAGTGTACTCTACCTGGCATAAAGCACTGTAAATATATATATATATATATTTATCTAATAGTAAAACCAACGTGCATTCCTTGGCCACAAATTAACTATGACACACCTGAGAAGCACGATGAACTGAGTGAGATAGGCTGAAATGTAATATCTGCTCAATGCAATCCATAAATAGTGCTGTGTGTGGATAACTAATCATTGTGGGATATCTCAAAACTAATACCCCGTGACCACTCAGCTCTCCGGAGATCCCACAACTGCTACACAGGACTGGCTGCCTCGCTACCCTACTCGCAGACCTGGTCAAGATGAGAACGAGCTCCTGCAGCCAGGGCACTCACAACTGAAAAGCATTTTCTGTCTCCTCTCCTAGGCACATGACTGGATAAATGAATTCATTGGCGGTCACTTCAGACAGCTGCCTACAATTTCTTCATCTTCCTAGTAAATGACAAATATTCCACATAATCTTATTTTTAAGCCTCTAGAAGAACTAAAATGCACCCTGAGTAAAAATGTATGACCCTCTGCTCCTGGTTTGGGAGCATTCTCTTTGGAGAAAGAAGGACATAGGAAGATTCCTCGTTTGCTTTTTCCCTCAACTCCAGCTCCTAACTTATATCCTGTACTAAAGCACCAGAAGCCCCAATTTGTTAGAAAAATTCTTTAAAAATAAATTCTTCACTGTACATCCCCAGCTTTATAATCTCCTACTCCCGTCTCCTAATAAAACTTTCATTTGAGACTTATGAGGAAATGAGTGAGGTTTTACTGCAGAATTTTCAGCTGAAACAACAGTCGACATTTTTCCTTCATTCTGCAGAACACAAATTTATGCACCTACAAGGTAATAAGGCAAAGTTTTAAATTTAATCAGAAGAAATATTTCACCAGTGGCAAACTGATAAATTATTTATAAAAGGGCTGATGGGCCTAGCAAGGAAATATGGGCCAAAGTCTGGCAGCCTTCAGGAAAAAAAAATGAAATCGCCATGGTTTTTCTAAAATCCTTCTTGAACCTTTTTCAAAATATTTAATCTTGAATAACTAAAATTAGAAAAGTAAGGAGGAAAAAGCCTACATGTTCTAGCACCAGTAAGGAAATCACCAGGCACAAGGCACTACTGTGGTGCCGCTGCCAGGTGTTCAGTGTCAATTTTCTGCACATCCTGAATGGGAGGTGCTGTGGAGTTAACAGGCATTCCCTTAGCTGCTTCCACCCACGCCAACGCGCAGGCAATGACTTCAGCAAACGTTAATGAAAATGACCTCGTTGCAAATTGTCCAATCTTTGAGAATCTTGCAACAAAAGACACAGAAAAAGAGAAAACCAAATCTATGAGTCTTTACATCAAAGATCTAGGAAATTTAATAACGTTCCCATTGTTTTATTGCAGATGGCACATCAAACTCTCTTTATTACTGCAGAAACTTGAGAGCCCTGAAGAGTACAATAAAGTGGTGCCTGTTTAGCTTTACAATGTTTCAAAGGACCCTGATTTACAGTTAGAAACCAGGCACCGTGTGCACAAACATCTGAGCTTGGTAATTGCTCATGTTTTGTGCAAACTCTGTAAGGCAGCATGGGGTCAGCCTCACAATGGGAACCACGGCTATCTATGCCAGGCCTCCCTTACTCTCTCCTATACCCTACATAAAGCTATAAAGTACAGAGAAGGGTGCCACATGCACCGGGGCATGTACTGAGTGCATATGGCACAGTCCCATGCTCACATCAGAAAACCAACCAGTTGGAGATATCCTGCGACATCCGTTACCTTAGGCTCATTTTCAAAATAGATGAATCCCACTTACGGTTTGTAACAGGAAGTTTTTAAATATTTTTATAGTACTTAAAAATGAATGCAAGAGCCTTGGCATTCAAAAACAAAATATTAAGTATTCATTGTTGTGGTTTTGCTTCCTGAATACAGGCAAAAGATCCCACTTTGCATGAATGGCTTCTTTCTAAGCTTCAGCTGATACTTTATTCCAGATACCACTTTAAAAACCAGCCCACATGGGATCCCATCTGCATTGGTACACTGGTACCTTTTCCTAAGCATCCAGGAATCCTGACACATTCTTCATCTCATCGGTCCTTCAAACTACCTCTTGTTCAGAAAATTATTTTACAGGTCCATTCTTGAAGTCCCATCAAATTTTCCCAGACTAAAGACCATCCACCTAGAGGACTACACCCTTGCCATCTGAGGACAGCCATGCCACTGTCATGGGAATGCTCAATCCTGGTGTTTCTACACCAACCTCTTTCCAGTTGTGATCATTTATCTATATGTAAACATTGTCTGCCTTACATCATGTTGCCTCTTCCAGATGCCATGGAAGAGATCTGCTCATAGATATAAATTTAGATTAAAAATAATAGATCCTATTTCCAAAGATTCCATTTACTGTTGGCTAGCATGAACTAGTTGATATCTACTGAGCTTAAACTAATAATAAAGCTAGCAGTAAGTCAATTCTTAGTACAAAAAAAATGTAAATCATACCAAATGGAACAGACATACAATACCTTGAAATTTTAAACATGTACTCTGAAAGACTGTATTTTCTTATGTAATAATTCTTTAAGAAGAAGAAAATAAAACCACAGAGACTTGGTCTATGAAGAACACAATTGGTAGATATTAATTTATTGGATTATGTTCTTATTTAAACAAATGTATCTAGCAAAAAGCAAAAGCACAAAGTCAAGTCCAGGAGATGACCAGAGGTAGCTGAGTCAGAAAGGCCTGCCTCTAAATTTATACAGTGTTGGCTAACAACCTTCCAGACACCCATGACACCACATCTTCCAACATTACCACTCTGCACCACTCTCCCCTAAGCTCCAGTCTCCTCTTGCTGAGATCCTGGAGTTCCTTCAACGTCTTCAAAGAAACTATTTTCTATTTAAAATATTAGGCCTCTCAAATATTTTTAAAGGGATACACCATCAAAATAATTCTCCAGTCCTCCTCCAACCCCAAACACATTGCACTCTCAAGAAAAAGGCAACTGAATTTTTATATAAATCATCAAGAAGTAACAAATTTGAGAGAGAAAAAGTAAAGCCTTTAGGCATAGATCAAAATAACCACTTAGAAACTGCCTTCTAAAGAACAAAAGCCCATTATTACTGACTTGACAAGTAAGAAATGCAGAGCACAAAGATGCATCCTAAGACATAGAGATATTTCCTAACAATTAGTCAGCTCACTACTGCCAGCAACAGCAGAAATTGCCTAAGGTCATTATTAATGGCAGAACAAATTCACTTTTGGCTACTCTCTTGCTCTAAGAATGTAAATAATATACAAAGAATCCTTAAATTACAGATTGTGTGGGTAAATGATCCACAAATCAAAATTTCAGCCAGGTAAGTGTTCAAGGGCTCTATAAACCATCTGTTTCCACTAGGCTTACATCCAAGGGAGAGGAAGACTCACAGGAGGCACACAAAGAAGGCCTCCTTCTTAACCTGCCCTCTTCATTACACTCCCATAGATAATTCCAGAATCAATCCATCAAACAAAGTTGAATATCAGCACCCCAAATTTCTAATGTCCTATTAAATTTATTAAATCATCAAATCAGTTGATACGAAAGGCTAAAGGAAATAGGTTTTTGAGTCGTTTACAAATAACTTAAGATCTTAAAGGCAATTTGACACAAATATATTCTTTGCCACTTTTCTTCAAAAAACAAAACAAAAACAAACCCTGTTAAGATATAAGCAACAAAAGACACACTAATTGGTAACTGGCTCCCTAAAAAGAACCTTATCTTTTGAATCAAAGACAAAGCATATAATAGGTGTCATCTTTTGAATGTTGGGTGCTTTTTTTCTCAACTGCTTGAAAACTAAGGACAGGAAGAGCAGCAAAAAAGGGAAAAAAGGAGGAAGTTGCAAAAAAGTTATTGAAAATACATTCCCTAAGAAAAATTAAAACCATGATTTAAGAGTCACACGCAGAATACTCTTTCTTGTTTAAAGACTTTGGGGGAAAACTTAAGCCAAATAAGACTCTCCAATGCATGAGTCACCATGATGCATATGCTGTGACAGCATACCAGCAGCCTCGTAGGTGAAAGGCAGGCCGGCCGGCAACAGGGGGCAGCAAGCATCCCACCATATGTGGTGAAGGTCTGCAGAGGATCCTCACTTAGATTCAGACTGTTTGAAACCAAGTAACTGAAGTTCTCCGGGATAGAAAGAAAGGGAAGAGTAAATAAAGAAAGCTTACCCTTGGTTGCCAGTTCTCGTACTGCTTCTGTAAATTTGCACCGATGGTTTCCAGAGCTTTCTGAGGACCCATCGACAGAGGATCTGAGGAAGCAATGAAAAGGAGAAAGTTCTTTATATATGCATTTCCTCCTCTGCTAAACCTCTCTTTCATTGTTTCCTCTTTTTTTTTGAGTTGGAATCCCTCACTCCGTGAGTGCAGTGGCACGCTCACACCACTGCAGCCTCAACCTGCTGGGCTCAGGTGAACCTTCCACCTCAGCCTTCCAAGTCCTGGCTAATTTTTTGATTTATTGTAGAGAGAGGTCTCGCCAAATAGCCCAGGCTTGTCTCAAACCCATGGGCTCAGGCAATCCTCTCACCTTGGCATCCCAAAGTGCTGGGATTATAGGCATGAGCCACTGTGCTGGGCCAGACAGTTTCTTCTTATATAAAGCACTCCAAAGTCACCTTTGACTAAAGATGATACAATGCAGTCTAAGGTTTAACTAGATTTATGGAGCTGTTAATGTGCCTAAACAAGCTGATACTCCCATGAAAATTGGTTTTATGACATCAGTGACACAGTGACTGCTTTTCTACCATCTATGTTTGTTTCTATCTCAGTGCCTTAGTTTTCTTGCAATTCCATCATTTGCTTCTTGTGCACCTGTCTGGCCTTTGTAGGAAAAAGCTAGGGGCCAGCTTCTATCAAAACACAGACACCAGCCGGGCTCGGTGGCTCAGCCTGTAATCCCGCGCCTTTGGGAGGCTGAGGTGAGTGGACTGCCTGAGCCCGCGGGTTCGACACCCGCCTGGGCAGGCGAGACTTCATCTCTACAATAAATCAAAAAATCAGCCGGGCGTGGTAGCGCATGCCTGTAATTCCGGCTACTTGGAAGGCTGAGGTGGAAGGATCGCCGGAGCCCAGCAGGTCAAGGCTGCGGTGGCCGGGAGCAGCCACTGCACTCCAGTCTGGGCAACAGAGTGAGACTCCAACTCAAAAAAAAAAACAAACAACAACAACACAGACACCATGTGCAAGGGAGCCCTGCAATGGGTACATATGAATGTTTTCCTCACATTCAGCCACAGCTATCCTGTGTACAGGAGCAGGAGATGAAAGGACAAAGAGGTAATAAATTTTAATTCATTTTCTTCAGTTTTTACACACACATACACACCAGTTTTACAGATATACGTGTCCACAGTTTACCCATTTATTTCAGGAGTGGCTTCTAGAACAAATAACTCTAAACTAGCAGTTTCCAAACTTGTTTAGTTTCAGGACTAAATGTATGTAAACATAAGACTAAAACATAAACATAAGCTAAATATAGTATAACCATAAGAGAATACTTTAAAATTACTGAAGATCTCAGAGAGCTTTTATTTGTGTGGTTGTATCTATCAGTATCTACCATATTTGAAATTAAAATGAGAAGATTTTTACAATATTTCTTTCTCCATTTATTCTTAAAATAACAAACCCACTATATTTTAACTTGCATTTTATTTAAAATAACTATTTTTCCCAAAAAATAAACTTAGTGAGAAGAGTAGCACTGTTGTACATTTTTACAAATTTCCTTAATATCTAGTTTAATCAAGGACAGTTGGACTCTCACGTTTCTGCATTCATTTGTTGCAATATGTGGTTTCAACTGATATATATGAGAAAAATCCCACCTTACATACATATATATCGTAAGAAAAGAGAAGTATATCTTAAATAGCTGTTTCAGTTAATCATGGTTCCTTTTCTTTGATACTACACCAAAATTTGACAAGTGGCAATTTCTCTAAAATTATTCATGACATAGTATCTTAAACATATCAATGAACTTTTGAAAACTATCACATTAAAATTCACTGCCCTATGTTGCACCTTGAATGAATTTTTTACCCACAGATGATTTTGTACCATCATGCCTTGGTCACTTGGAAAATACTGGTTCACTGAACAATGTAGATCTTACAGTTCATCCTCTAATATTAAAAAACTCCACACTCATCAACAACACCATGATCTCATAAAAAATATCAAGTACTGAGAAGTTGCCAAGCTCACAGTGACAGATATAAGATTTTCAAATTCTAATTTTTTATTTGAAATCTTAAATTTTATTACTGCAGCAAACACTGTCAGTTGTTTTCCTTAAAGTAACAAACTCATTCAATTTACAGAAAATGTCTGTCAAATACCCCAGGTCTGTCTGTTGCAGGTAAAATGCTATCAAACAGGATTGTATGCTACAGAGAAATCCTTCATAAAAGGAAGAGCTAATCAATGCAGCAAACTTCATTGCCACCTTATTTTAAGAAATTGCCACGGCTACCTCAACTTTCAGCAACCACCACTCCATCAGTAAGTAGGCACCCACACCAAGACAAGATCCTCCTCCACCAAAAAGATTGACTCACCAAGGCTCAGATGATCACTAGTATTTTTTAGCGATAAAGTTTTTTTTTTTTTAATTTTTTATTCAGAGTCTCACTCTGCTGCCCAGGCTGGAGTTCAGTGACAAGATCACGACCACCACAGCCTCGACCTGCTGGGCTCAGGTGGTCCTTTCACCTCAGCCTCTCAAGTAGCTGGAACCACAGGTGTACACCACCACGCCCAGCTAATTTTTTGATTTATTGTAGAGACGAGGTCTTGCCAAGTTGCCCAGGCTGGTTTTGAACTCCTGGGCTCAGGCAATCCTCTCAACTCCAACTTCCAAAGTACTGAGATTACAAGCATGAATCACCGTGTGTGGCTAAGTATTTTTAAAGTTTGTACATTGTTTTTTAGATATAATGCTAATGAACACTTAGTAGACTACAGTATAGTGTAAAAATAACTTTTATATGTACTGGGAAACCACAAGATTTGTGTATCTTGCCTTATTGTGATATTCACTGAATTGGTGGTTTAGAACCAAACCCACAATATCTCTGAGGTATACCTGTACAGCTTTTAGTACTATTTACTTTTTTAGCTATATGCGTGTGTGAGTTCACTGTTTAAAAAATTATTTATAAAATTAAGTAATAGGATTTTATAATTGAAAAAGACCTTCACCCATCAGAGACTTTTCCAAAGAGAGATGGCAGGCCTAGTCTTTTGAAAATTGTAATTCAACGACTCTAGAAGAGTCTGCTCCCCCAGTGAGCACCTCTGGTTGAGAACAACTTGGTAAAAACCAGTTATATCTAACTTCTCTGCAAGAATTGTAATAAATTTTTTATCATCAGTAAATTAAGAAATTAGATGTCAGTCTTCATTTATCTTTGTTCTGGTAGGAACTGAGTGAGTTTTAAGGTCTCAAAAAAAATGATAGTGAACAGCCAAAATCAACTTGGCTATAATCAGAAATACACAACTAGCAAGAGACAGGAATGGATTGGGGTCTGAAAAATAAAGGGCTGCCTAAGAACATAAACTAAGCAAAGGAAAGTAGAAAAATAGCTTTCACAAACAGAAATCAGTCAAACAGCAGAACACACCATGTGCCTAATGATGAATAGAGCAAACATACAGAGCTGGTTAGAAAGCATTTAATTCCTTCACCCACACTTAACAGTGTAGCAACCAGTATGGCCATGGCCCATGGCTATAACTGATGGTGAAGAGAACAGAAATGGTTTCCTCAGTCAAGGACAAAAGACCTGTCCATGCATCATGATAATCAGTGGTGGTTCACTATGCATGTCCTCTGATGAACCATAGAGGGAGAAAAGGGGAGGGAGTTATAATGGTCTACAAGTCAGAGAAGGATTGAAGTCATTCCCATCTTGACTGCACCCTTTGCAAAACCCAGGCCCTTCTCCCACACCACCCTCGCCCCAAGGAGGATGCCACTGTCACATGCCTCTGTGTACCTCACAATGACCCACGCAGAGACACTGCAGACACACCAAGGTCTCCACTCTTCCTTCCCTGACATCAGATCAGGACACCTGTTCACCAGGGAGGGCAGGGCAGCTGCCACCCATTCATCAGGTTGTGACCAACCAAGTGGGACTGTTACCTGCTCCCTACTGAGAATCCCTGTGGTCAGTTACTTTTATGGTTTTCTCCCCAAGAATGTGACAGCGAGTGGGAAAGATGACATGAGAGACAGAAGGGGGGAGGGGAAAGAATGAGTACAACTAAAAGTATATACTTAGCATTTGATTAACTTTAATTTAAATAAACTAAAATTACATTCCTGGATGGATATTGCCAATGATTTATCAGTCTGATGTGGGGGGTGAAGTGGTCAGAAAATAAATTTAAAATCATGGTTCTTTCTTATAAAACACTTCTCTTCTAATTCCTTTATGAGCTTCTATTTTGTCTTAAGAGGAACCTGGGAAAGAACTACTAAAACTTCAACATGAGTAAGTGTGTGAGTAAATTAATGAATCAAGTGGGTGGGTGGGTAGGTAGATCCATCCATCAATGAAACAGTAGATGGCAATCGGGATTTGCAAGATTTTTAGCATAAAAATCAGCTCTGTATTTCATGGCACTTGGAACTTTACATTGAAAAGAACTTAGTCCAACCCGAACTTGATCCAAGGTAACAAAAGTTATTGATGGTGCTGACATTCAGCAACTTTAAGAGGTAGAACTTTTTTCTTTTTTTTAACCTCCCCATACATACAACTCGATTACATGTCCCATCTGGCACTCCATCATTAAGTATAAACATGTCTGTCCAATCACATAGCACTGCATGACATTACTGAAATACCCCCTCCCTATCTCCGAGATGGGCTCCTGAATCTGACCTGAAGAGGATGGCACCCTGGGCACAAGACTACCACTGACCTAGTCCTTTTCCTCTCAATACACCCTGAAGATGAACACAGGCTAGCACCCTCCCCTCAGAAGCCTACAGTGCCTGCTCCATGCTCCCATTTAGATAAAGTGCAAGTGGGAAACATGACTATAAACTGTCAAGATTTGAGACCTGGGGGTGGGGTGGGAGAGATGGGGACTAGGAGGGGATAAGATTGGGCTTCTGGGTCACTGGTAATAATGTTCCTTAATCTGGGTTAAATGGGTATGATCAGCTTAGGAAAATTTATCAAGCTACTGTATACACTTAAGTTAGGTGCAGTCTTCTGTATGT